GTGGCGGTGGTGCCGGCGGTGGGCTGCAGCAGCCAGTGTCGCGCTGTATTTCAGTGCCCTGCACTGTGACCTGAACTTCCACACACCCCAAATGAAGGCGCGGGGAGGGGAGACAGTGACGTGGGTTGGGTTTTTCTGGAACGGCCCTTGCAGCCAACAGCTTACTGGCTGCGGGGACCCATCTTTTGTCAGTCTCCCTGGAGACCGGATGCGGCAAAGTATAGCCTTTGCGCAGTGCTGGCATTTGTATGAAATGCGGGTTGCTTTTTTCCCTAGGGGGTTTGTCCGCTGGAGCCTGAGCACCTGTAAGGGGATGCTGGAGTCTTGGGTAAGTTGAAACAGGCTCCCCCAGGTATGACTTGTTTGCAAAATCAGCTCCTTCCAGTGACATCCCAAGTGACTGGGGACCGGTCACCCCTGCATCCCCTCGTAGTGAGCCTCCTCCAGGAGAATCAAAGCTTGAGTGATTTCACCTTCAACACGTGCTGCCCCTAGAGGCGTTGCAGGTGTGGCTGCTGTGTCACACTTGTGTCATTAGGTGGCAGAGAGAAGCGAGGCTATGTCTACGCTCAGCGTTCTGATCTGTGAACGTCTGAATGATTAGTAGTCTGACACCTGACAGTGCTCTAGTGTGGCAGTGTGTGTTTGCCGACAGCCTGAAGCCTGTCGTGTAAAACTTTAGTCCTTTCGTGGCTGGAGTGGTCTGACGGCCCTGCATTGTCACAGCAGGAGGAGGTAAGTTTGTTAGGTCAGTGTGTGGGAAATCATAAAATGCAATAACCTTTAAAAGCCGGTTCTAGGAAACAAGCGTGTTACTTATGTCTTGCACAGGGAGAAAAGATCTGTTAAGGTGTTAGGCAGTGTTCGTGGGTAGCTACCCTGCCCTTTCTAAAAACAGACTTTATGGATTGTGCAGCCAGAAACTTTCTGGAAGTAGAGTTGCAGGATTTAGGTGACAGGGACAGCTGCACAATCCCAGGGCATCCTGTTTTTTCCTGCACGTCACCTTCTTGCTCCTTCTCTTGCTTTGGGGATCTGTCTGCCCTCACTACTAACTCTGGGAGAGTGTGGTCAGGCAGGTGCAGACGTCTCTAGAGAGGACCTTCCTGGCCGCCCCAGGATGGTCTGGGTGCCAGGACAAGCAGCCTAAGAACTTCATCCTCACTTTGGGCTGCAGTTGGGGGTGTGAAAGGTGACTGTGGAGCAGGGGCCCCTTAGTGGTAGCACCTTCATTTCTTGGTTTGAGAATGAGCACTAGGAAGCGTGAAGTGTCATGTTGGGTGCTGGCTCACCCTGCACACTTCATCAAGGGCTCGGGTTGCTGGTGTTCAGTTCTGTCAATAGTATAGTAGCCAATTTAACGGCACTCTTGATCCCGTGCCAAGCATTCTTGTTGTTTAATACAGGAAGGAAGGTGACTGCTAAGCAGAGAAGACCCAGCGTGAGCGTTGGCCAGAACGCGTGGCCCTCGCAGCCTCAGCTCAGGTCAAGGTAAGAGGTGCGTTCCTGTGGGGAGGCACTTGTCCTCCCCGCCTGCCCTGGCTGCTGGCTGGGTGTGAGTGGCTGCCCTGCCGATGCTGTCCTGGACTGCCAGCCAGCACCACAGACACAGCCACTCTGCTGTGCCTGTGACATCGGGGCAGAGAGGAAGTGGCTCTGTCTACGCTCAGTGTTCTGAGGCCGGCGAGCACTAAGCATGTCTGCAGCCTCACATGTCTCAGGCCCTCACCGAGGCAGGGGTGGTGGTTTTGCTTTGGTCTGTGCACTTGGGCGGCAGCGTGTGCACTGCGCTTGCTTTCCGGCTCGGCCATGAGCCCGGGTGAGACACTGCTGTTGGGTGCTCAGTGTCTCTACCTGTAGAACAGGGCTTGTTGCGAGGACTGTGTGACCTGAGTGTACGAAGCACTTGGCATGTGGTGAGCTTTGGGTTCAGTGGGGTTAGCCAGGGAGGGTCTCCTTCCCAGGGCAATGATCCTGTAGGTGTATCTGGGGGAAGACCGGACCGCTGCACTGCTGTAAACCACCTGTCCTGTCCAGCTCTGTTACTCTGAGGGGTGGGGGGTCAGCCGCCTTGCCCAGGACAACCTGTGCATGAAGACCCTTGAGACATGCAGAACGAGGAGTGGAGTGACACCAACCACGCTGCTGCTTTGTCCTGTGGGGTCAATGTGGCCATGTGGACTGGTGGTTCTCAGCCAGGGGTGACTTCTGCACCCCTCCCAGGTGCATGGCAGTATCTGAAGGTACTTTGTCTTCATAAAATTAGGAATGGGGCGTGCTCCAGTCATCTGGTGGGTGGAGGCCAAGGACACTGCTGCAGGCGCTTCAGTGCGCAGGCCGGCGCCACAACAGAACTGTGCTGGGAAAAAGAAACATACCTTTCAATTCAAATATCAGTTTTGGCAAGACCCACTGGCTTGCTCCACCAATCTTGTTCCTTTTTCAGATGCAGAGGCCGGGAAGGATGTGAGCTCTGCTACTGTATTCTGATGGTAAATATGTCTTGGCAGTTTTTCCCTGCCAAAGATCCTAAACTATACTTTTTACTGTATTTGGATTATCTTGGTTTGGGTTTTTTCCCCCAATAAGGGGAAAAAGGTTATTTTAAAATATTGGATGAAGTTTAAAAATTAGCACTAAAAATTAGCTGACGTTCTGGAATTGCACAAAAGGTGTCAAAGTGAATTGAAAGTATCTATTCAGTGCACACGGATGTGACAGCTGACGTTCTGGAATTGCAGCTGGAACTGCACAAAAGGTGTCAAAGTGAATTGAAAGATCTATTCAGTACACTTTTCTTCAAGGACATTTCTTGTGTTGGCAAAACTTGGGAATAAACTGAATGCTCAGTAAACTGAGTAAGCTGTGTCTTGCTTTATTCTCAGTGTGCTGGGTCTGTGGGGGAAGGGGGTGCCCACTGCTGGGACCCTCCCCTGGCCTGGGCTTCCCAGGGCAGCAGGGGTCGTGGGGAGACAGGTGCTGCAGCACTGGCTGCTCCTAGACGATGAGAACCAGCTTTGGGCTGCTGGTTTGTGCAGCAGGCATTCTAGGACAAAATTTAGCTTTTACACATGTGTAAATCTGTGTCTTGCCACTTGCTACTAGAACACCTTTTTCCTTGGTCCTTCGGTGATCTTTATTGGAAGCCGTGCTGTAACACAGGGGTGCTTTAGAACCCAAAGATGAGGAAGAGTCAGCTTCTGGGACCCTTGTGTCCTGGTTGATTGCCCTGACAGAACAGAACACAGCTTCAGAAGTTCGAGGAGAGGTCAGGCAAGGGCTCTGGGACAGACCCCACCTCTGACCACCTGAGGGCTGTCTCCCCACAAATGCAGGGCATAGTGGGCATCAACCCGAGGACTGCCTCAGCCCAAGTGCCCGGGCTGCAGGGGCAGGCGGAGGTCCACAGTGCGGTGAGGAAACCACGTGCAGCATCAGTGGATGCTCAGGAGTACTCCAAACACTGCAAACTACATAAAAGCTGTTTATTTACATCATGTTCAAAACCCACCTGGGCCTGGGTGGGCCCCTCGGCCAGCCCTCCATGGTTAAGCTCCGGGAACTCTCCCCCTCCTGCCTTTCCTGTCTCAGCCCAGAGAGTCCCACCTGTCTGTGACTTGTTGAACCCAGAGAGCCCTGAACACTGGGGGTGGGACTTTGCAGTGGGGTCACCTTGAGGGACAGGGTGACAGCTGCTGCCCTGGGCTGCTGGAACCTCGGCCCCCACCCCAGTTCCTGGCGTCCAGGAGGGAGTGGAGGGAGGGCTGGGGGGGGACATCAGGAGTACTTGGTGTTGGAGATCTCCTTCCAGAGCAGGGTCTTGAGGTGGCTGAGCACCAGCGAGTGGTGCGCCTCCACCTGGCTGGCCAGGCCACTCAGTGTGCTGCAGGTGCGCAGCTGCTGGCCCAGCTCCTCACGGAGAGCACCTGGGGCGCCAGGCAGCAGGTAGTCCCGCAGCAGTTCGCACACCTTGGCCAGGTTGGGCCGGATGAGGTCACCCTTGCACTGCCGTATGAGCCTGTCGCACGGGGCCCTGCAGTCGTGCCCATAGGTGCAGTCAGCACTGTTCTCGCAGTGGCGGCCCTGCAGGAAGCGACGCACGGCGGCCTCGGGCGCCACCTGCTGCAGGTCCGCCATCTTGAAGTCATAGGTGGCCGTGTAGCCCACGTTGGCCAGCGTGGTCTCACACATGTAGAAGGTCCCATAAGAGCCGTGAAACAGTTCCTCCACGAACTCCAGCAAGCCGATGGCGATCTTGGCCCGCCAGGGCCAGGCGGGCCCAAACCACTGCTGAAGGGCCCGGTGGAAGGCGGGGGGCAGAAGTGGGCGCAGGAGGGGTGGCAGCACGGCCCCCGGCCAGGAGCTATGGGGGGCGCCTTCGGTGAGGTAGAGGTCCCCGCAGTAGCCCAGGAGCCTGGAAGCATGTTCCTTCTCCCGCAGGGACAGCAGCAGCAGGAACTCATTGCGCCGCAGCAGGGCCCACACGGACTTGGCCTCAGCCAGGGACACCCTGCCATCTTTGTTGAAGTCAGCCATAAACAGGACCTGGCCAACCAGAGCCGGCAGGGAAGGCAGGTCTCCCAGGTTCGCCTGGCATTTAGGACCAAAGGAAAAAGCCCAAGTTGTTTTGGAGCCATAGGAGCGTGACCTCACGGTGCACTGCTCAGTTGGCAGAATGCCAGGCCTTGACCTGGTCATCCTGAACCTTTGGGATGCCAATGCGCCTGGCAGGGCTGGCTGTAGGCACAGTGAAGCTGCCAGGTTGGGGGATCCCAGCCTTCAACTGCACAGATGGAGGGGACAACCAGGGATGGGAGGCCCTGCTGCACTCCTCACCTTCCCTAGCCTCTGCTCGGGCCTGTGCTCCTACCGCCAGGTTGGAGGGTGCACACCTGGGCACAGAGAAGCCACAGAGCTCTGGGGATTAGAATCAGAGCAGAGGCGGCTGGTGCTGGCTGGTGCCTGCGGGGATGGATCACTCCTGGCCTGTCCTCGGCTCCTGCCACACTGGGTCTGCAAGGTCCTCGGCTCTGAGCACTGTCCCCCTACTTCAGTGCCTTGGCTGTGCCAGCACAGGCCCCACTCCACCCTGGAGAGACCCCTTCCCGGCCTGCCTCCTGCCGAGAGTTGGGGGATGGAAGGTCTGCCCCAGGGTCCACTTAGGCCTGTCCACACCTCTGCGCTGGGGACCACAACTGCTGCCCTGCGTGCACATCCCTGGGCGCAGACTCCGTATGACACCAGGCAGAGCCCGCCCCGCCCCCCAGGAGAGCAGACTGACCTTGAGGAAGCTGAGGGTCATCTCCCGGAACTCCTTAATCGAGGTGCCCCTGGTGGGCTTGTCAAACAGCACCAGCTCCCGTCGGGGGCCCAAATCTGACTGGGCCTTGGAGTTCAGGGCCCCCTCGATGCCACACTTAATAGTCACCACCTTGTCCTGCCAGAGCCCGCTGTACACCTGGATGGGGCCACAGGGATCCTCGTGCAGAAGTCCCCCTCCCAGCACATGGGCGGCATCAGTCCCAGGCCCCCGCCCTGCCGCGGGCATACCTGCTGACCCGGGGCCGTCGAGAGGCAGGCTCCCCACTCCACCCTGTGCCGCTCGCACAGGTCCTGGCAGATGGAGCCCGAGATGATGCCCTTGCGGTACTGGTCGCACTGAGGACAGAGGTGCCAAGGTGGGGCCCAGGGGGCGCGGGCTCCAAGTCACACCCGCTCAACCCCCACTGAGGCCCTCTCATGGACCCGAGGCCCAGCCCCCACCCACTCCTCCAGGGACCCCTGCAGGGGGGAACCAACAGGGAGGCAAGGTGGCCAGCAGGGTGGGCATTTGGGGCTGAAGCCCCCATCGCATCTGCCAGTCTGCCCCAGCACCCGCCGTGCCCCTGGTTCTTAGCCACAGCCCTTTTCTCAATTAGAAGCCCCCATACTGTGGGAACTGGTACCCAGCAGCCTCCGGCCCATGCCAATCCCTGAGCCACACTGGTGGGCCCAGCAGCCCAGAAGACAGTGGCCTTCCGCTCACTGCAGCCTCTCCCAGAGGCAGCACCCAGCCCTGGCACGTGCAGTTGGCGGCTGTAGCATGGGCCAGTCTGCTGCCAGCAGCAACCCTGCCAAGCCACCTGTCCCCCGCCCCCATCCTGGCTCCCACAGGGGAACGCTGCCACCAAGGTTGCAGCCTGGGCATTTGCAGTAGCACGCCACACCCAAACGAGCAGTGGCCAGAGACGGGCGCCCAGAGGCCCTGCTCCTGCCCCGCGGTGGGGCTCTCCTGGTGCTTCCTCTGAATGGGCCAATGGGGCATTTGCCCAGAACTTAATGTGGCCCCCGAGAAAGGCATGCTGTGAACCCCCCTGTCCAGCCCTTCATTTCCATCAGGGCAGGTTGCTCTGGCGCTGGAACCCCAACTCAGCTGGGAGCTCCCAGGACAGCTCCTGAGGCCGAGCTTCTCGTCAGCACGGCGTGCCCTGTGGCTTCTGCTTCTCCCTGGCTGGGGTCTCTCTCCGCCCTAGCCCAGCCCTTCCCGGTGGGCAGAAGCAGGAGAGCAGGCCCTGATGATGCCCAGGACAGGACTCGCTTCTACCAATAGCCCTCAGGGCGTCCCCACATACAGAGGCTGCGGTGAGGGGTGATGGAGCCCACCTGCTGCTCCCCCAGCTACGCCTGTCTGTGCAATGGGGAGATTACTCTCAGACCCTTAAGGCGCCAGGGGGTGGGGACATGCTCACAGACTTATCAGGACTGTCACCGTTGGCTCAGAAAACAGTGCCCTGGGGCCCACAGTTACTCCCAGCCCCATCCCTCCTGCCAGGCCTGCTCCAGGCCACCTCATTAGCCAGATGCACAGGGAGACACTGCAGCGGTAATTAAATCAGGCTCAGGGACTAGCTGCCACCCCCTCCTTGGCACCCACCCCCAGCTCTAGACAGGGCCTCGCCACTCCTTGAATCCCGGGGTTCAGGGCCCCAGCCCCAGCAGGAAGGCAGGGAGCCAGAAGGTGACTTGGGCGCTTCCCTCTGGGGGAGCACTGGGGCGAATTCCTGCACGTGCATCACTGGTTGCCATGGAGCCTGGGCCCCGTAGGAGCCAGGCTTGGAGGAAGGAGGGGGAGGGGTGTGCAGAACACCCTGCCATCCGAGGTGGGGAGGGGGCCTCAGGGCCTCCCAGACACCGAGGAGGGGGACGAAAAGGAGGCTGAGCCAACCAGAGGTCGTAGACCCAGCCACGTGAACCGTGGAGGAGGCATCTGTCCCGTGGTGGCGTGAAAACGACGGCTCTTCATCAAGATAGACAAGGGAAACAGAAAAACCACGCGCGCATCCATCCTCCACCCTGCAGGCAGGCGCTTCGCCACCAGGGCCTGCTCTGACCCCCCACAAGTCAACACTAATTACGGGACTTCTGCTCCAAGCCCTGAACCCCACAGAACTGCAGGGTCTGCGGGGGGGAGCGGAGGAGGAGCCACAGGAGGCTGCTCTGCTTCTGGGGACACAGGAGCCTGCTGGCCACAGGGCCCGCTGCCAGGCTGTGGGCCACGGCTCCAGTCAGGGACAGCGGTCGGAACAGGCAGACGGGACCCTGCCCCCACTGTCCTGGGGCACCTTCCCTGCACTTCAGCAGCGGTGGGGTGGGGGCGTCCACAGGACCTGAGGCGGGCAGCGTGGTCAGCCTTCCTCAGGGCTCCTGTGGCCATCACGTTTCCGGGGCAAGTCCCCTCACCACCAGCCTGCTTCCCCATCCACAGAATGCGCCATGGGGGGATTCAGTGTGCAGCTCCTGGCCATGCTGAGAGCCCTGCTAGCACCAGAGACTGTGTGACCCCTGCCACTGCCCCTCCCCCTCCTCACTGTGTGACCCTGGACAAGCTTCGAAACTTCTCTGAGATACCTAATGGCCCCATGAGATACCTAATGGCCCCAGGCAGGGCAGGTGTCGAGGGAGCCTCATCTGGAAAGGAGACGTCCCCACAACCCCCAAAGACAGGCTTCAGGAGAGCTGGCTTTGGGGGTGACCTCTGGGAAGGGTCTGGGCAGCCCAGAGAAACCCCCGCTGGGCAGAAGAGCCAGGGCAGCAGGAAAACGGCAGCCGCATCTGCGGCCCCCACTCTTGTTCGACACCCCAGGAGTTTCTGCTGCTGCTGCAGCGCGGGTGCTTCTCGCCTGCCTCCCAGGCCTGTCCCTGGTGGAGTGCTGGCATTGGAACCATTGTCATTGGCCTCTCTAGGGCTCCCACCCTCCCAGTCAGGCCAGGCAGGGTGTGGGGTGGGTTCCGGGTGGCCATGGGGGGTCTGCCCGGCTCCAGGCGAGTCTGGGGTTTGCCAGGAAAATGGAACAGGCACAACCTCTCCCCCCAGCCTGGCACAGGCATGGGGAGAAGCAGGGAGTCGCCTGGGTGAGCACACGTGTGCGCACATGCTGGCTCCCGTGCACGCTCACACAGGCTTGCTCGCACGCTCATCCTCACCCGCCGTCTCCCAGGGGAGAAGGCTCTAGAAGACCAGCGCTGCAGCCTCCTTTGGTGGACCCCAGGAGGTGCCCTCAAGGCCACCGAGGCATGTACATGGGGCTCCTCCAGGCTGGGGCAATGAGAACACCCACCCGTTCCAGTCTCCTTGCTAAAATATCCTCCCTCTCAAACATCTCTGGGGCCGGCCCTGTCCATCCATCCCCAGCCACCAGCTGGGTCAGGCCACCCACGCTCCCCCGGGCACCTGCGGCAGTCTCCCTGGACCTCCCCATGCCCTGTTCCTCCCCTTGACCCCCAACCCTCCACACCAGCCAGAGGAGCTTTGCAGCCTTGTGCCAAATCTATAAGCGGCCCATGGCCCTGGTGCCCCAATGCCTTAGCCAAAAAGGGGGCCCTACCAAGGCCCCCTGCCCGAGGCAACACTTACGATGACCACCTGGCAGACATGGCCACGGCAGAGCTCTGAGTGGGACGAGTAACGCAGGTAGGCCATCCAGCTGCCTGCACAGATGCCCAGCCACACCAGGAGGACGCACTTGACCCTGAGGCCTGGGAGCCGACCCTGTGGGGGAGGGAGCTGCTTGAGGGAGAGCCACAAGGCCCTGTCACATGGCCCCCATTAGAGGGGAGCTTTGGCCCCATCTCACAGAGGAGGGGCGTCGGGTCCCACCAGTGCTGTCAGGGCCTGGCCTACCTCCAGCTTCCAGAGCCACCCCCAGTTCAGCGGCCCCCTCTGACCCCTCCCCTCCAAGCAGGCACACGAGGGTCTGAAGCCAGCTGGGCGCTCCCCACTGTGCCCTGGACTTTTAAATTTCATGGGCAGGTAAAAACAAACTCCAAAATGATGGGACATAGGGTGGCCAACTCTTTACTGTGCTGAATAAAGACGCTTTCCTGCTTTTTTCCCTCCTGTCTCACCCTGGCTTCCTGACATTTTCACCTTCGCACAGGTCGGCAGTGCCTCCTCCCGCTGCAGCACCACCCTCATCTGTGCCACCCACTGTGGATCGGTAGAAAGTTCCAGCTGGACAAGGGCCGGCAGGGAGAACTGGGTTTGAAGGCTGCTGGTCTAGAGGACAGGGCTCCAGGGCCCCAACTCAGCCACCTCCCGGTAGCCCATAAGAGACGCAGGTGTGTACACCCCTGTCCACAGCAGCACCGCTCACAACAGCTGGAACTGGGAGCTGCCGGGTGTCCGTGGACGGCTGGATGAATAGACACAGCGTGTTCTGGCCATGCCGTGGAGTGCCACTCAGCCCAAAGAGGGAAGGGAGCTCTGACGCATGCCACAACACAGATGGACCTTGAGGACGTCATGCTAAGGGAAACAAGCCAGTCACAAAAGGACAAGTTCTGTAGGATTCCACTTCTACGAGGTCCCTCGAGCAGTCAAATCCATAGAGACAGAAGGTAGAAGGGTGGGTGCCAGGGGCTGGGGTGCTGGTGTTTCATGGGGACAGAGTTTCAGTTTGAGAAGATGAAAAGTTGTGGAGATGGACGGTGGTGATGGTTGCACAACAGTGTGAATGTCCCTGAATGTGCACTCAAAAATGGTTAAAATGGTGAATTTCATGTTACGTTTATTTTACCACGATTAAAAAAGAAAAGCAACAGCCTTGGCCACAAGGCCTGGGGCCCTGCCCAGGTGTCTGGGGTGAGCCTGGTGACTGTGTTTTGATGGAGGTTTTGGGTCACTGTCGTTGTCTGCCTTGATTTCCCCAGCTGGCAAGTGGAATCACGGCCTGTGAAGGTTCCAGATCCCCTGGCTTCGGTGCTGGGGGCACTGTCTCCCTCCAGCATATCAAGCCAGGTTTCCAAGGGTGACAGCCAGGGGCACCTGAGTGCCACCTCCCTTCCCCGCCCTGGCAAATCGCGGGCTGAAGGGTGCTGTCCAGGAACGGCCAGCAGGGGGACTTCATTACCAGGTGGCTTGTTCCATGCAGGGTCTTGGACGTCCTTGACCCACAGCTGAGGGAAAAGGGATAGGCCCCGGGAACGGCCAGCAGGGGGGCTTCATTATCAGGTGCCTTGTTCCATGCAGGGTCTTGGACGTCCTTGACCCACAGCTGAGGGAAAAGGGATAGGCCCCAGAGGAGGAGGCCCCACTGCTGGCACCAAACACCCCATGGCCTCCTGTCCACTAGCTGCCAGGGAGAGGCTGCCAGCCAGGGCCCAGCCAGAGACCCCTCCTGGGACCTCCTGGCCACATGCCACACCAGCCATGTGGCCGAGCAGCAGTCAGAGGCCGTGGGCTCCATCCCTGCTCGGTCCTGGTCAGCACGGGGGCTGGCGCAGGAGCCTCTTCCATGAAATGGGGCCACAGGTTCCTCACCGAGGACAAGACCCAGCCAGGGCAGCTGGGGTCATTTTTATGGCTCTCCCAGGAGAGGTGGAACCTCCTCGTGCTTCCCTGGCACCTACCCACTGGGCGGCCACCCCCAGGAGGGGCTGCAGTGGGAGGACCCTCTGGAGCTCGGGGGGAACCAGAAGCCTCAGTGGCCAATGAAAAGCAGCTAGGCCCTGGGGGCCCTGGGGCCAAGGGAAGGCACTCCGGCCCACTGGTCCTGGCACACTGCATCTGTTTCCGGGGGGGAACCAGAAGCCTCAGTGGCCAATGAAAAGCAGCTAGGCCCTGGGGCCAAGGGAAGGCACTCCGGCCCACTGGTCCTGGCACACTGCATCTGTTTCCGTCAGATTTTTCCAAAACAAAAAACAGGAAAGCAGAGAGGGGGGTCAGGGGGAGCGAGGGGGTGTTGTTTTGGCAGGTCAGGGTTGGAAGTCTTCTGGCTAAGGCAGACATGCCCAGAGGCAGTGCTGAGTGGGAGGTTTTCACACGGGCTGGGGGTCCTGTGGGCACAGCCAGAGGAGGGCCGGCTGTAGCCTGTGCTGGACCCAGGGGATGACTAGGGTTGGAAAAAATGACCCAGATTTAGGGGCCTGCCTGCTGGGGCCCAGTCCAGGCACTGACCATCCCCAGCCAGACTCTCAGGCTCCCGGCCTCAGAAAGGGTGGTTCCTCTCCAGTGACCCCGTTCCTGCCTGGCTCATGCTGCGTGATCCCCCACGTCTTTACCTTACTCAGGCACCTCCCTAGGAGTGGTCCCTGACCCTGCTGCGGGTCCCAGGGAGAAGGTGGGTCTCACTCCTCAGTGGATCTCCAGCAGCTGCTCTCCGGGGCTCCCAGAGGTGGGGGGCAGACTGGCAAGGCCTGGGTCTGGAGGACACCCACCCCCCAGACCTGGGCTGGGCTGTGAAAGGGCAGGAGGGGGGCCAGCTCCTGGAGGAGCCACTTGGAGGGTGGGGAGGGTTGCTCAGGGGACAGGAAGAGCACAACAATGCCCTGACCATGGATTTGGCGCCCCTCACCACCAACCCAGAAGGGTGCTTCAGGGCTGGGAAACCGAGGCTCAAAATGAATGCCCGCACTACTAGGGGCAGGGCCGGCCTCAGACGGGGGCTCTCCCCCTGAGCCAGCCCCGCTGGGAGCCGGCCAAAACCCACCCATCCTGCCATTCCAGGGTCCAGCTCAGAGGGCCAACGCCCAAGGTCTGGGCCTCAGCTCTGGGTCTTCCCCCCAGCAGCCTGGTCAAGGCCTTTCCCTCAGGGCTGGGGGCCGGTGCACACCCCACCTCCTGCTGTAGGGGGTGGTCCTCAGACCCCTCAGCTCCCACCTTGCCCAGGGCTGGGCTGGGACCACCACACACAGTCCGAGGCAGGCAGAATGTCAGGGTGCAGAGGGTCTCACTGCAACCTGTAAGTTTCCAGGCTCCCCACCCTTTTCCTGTTAAGGGAGCTGAGGCCAGGCCTTGAGCCAAGGGCAAGACCCTGGGCCCAGGACCGCCCAGCGAGGCGGCCGGGGAGGTATGGGCAGGTCTGACCAGGGCTGGCTCCTTTCTGCAGGCGGCTGGAGGCCTGGAGGGCCTGGGGGATCATCCCAGTCAGGGGGTGGGGCCCAGATGATGTGAGGCTGATGGCGGCCTATCTGGGATCTCCTCAAAGCAGAAGGTGGAGGGTTCCCAGCAGCAGATGGGAGCCAGGCCCCTGGAGGGGGCGGACACTTGGTCAAGGTCACCCGGGGTTCTGTGCACGGTCTCTGGGCTCTGGCTGGCTAAGGGCATGACCCAGGGGGGGAGGTTACGTCCTTTCCCAGGGCGTTGCTATGTGTCCCAAGTTTTCTACACCAGGAAAACGAGCCTTATCTCCCAGGTAGAGAAAGGAGAAAAGGGCTCGTGCGTGGTTTCTGGGCCTGGGGGCGCAGAGTCGAGCCTGCGGGGGGCGGGGGACAGGGCTGCCAGCAGCAGCATCCGCGGCGTCCGGACCCTCCCCTCACCCACCGACGCCCCTCCCCGGAGCCCCAGTGCTCTCTACGCGCCCCCGGCCACCCGGGGCTGGACACCGCCCCCGGCCCGAGAGGCAGGCGGGGGCCCGCGCGCGCCTACCTGCAGGCCCTTGGGGAAGGGGCGGAGGAGCGCCAGGGGCGCCAGGCGCCGCAGCCGCCGCATGGTGGG